GGGGGGGGTCTATGGGGATAATCACGGCACGTCTATGGTTGTTAAATATAATACACACATAATAAAAATAATAAAAATGAAATCGTTTTGACACATTAACAAGACGCCGAGATGGTTAAATTTAGCGGTGCAACGTAATTGTGTTAGAACTATTATAATTAGGTCGTCAAGAGACAAACGTTGTTAGGTGGTGGACGTTATTGCTATATGTCTGACAGGTTAGCACACATCGCCCCACACCGGCCCAAGGGCATCACTTACTCTTCCTCCTCAACCGGAGGCTCGACTTTCCTGAGGTCCACGTCATCAAAACTGTGTTCCTCTGTACCACTGTGAGAACCAATCACATTCATTATCACAATTTGCCTGCTTCTTTAAATAATCCACGTTTAGACCTGATTGGCTGTTATTCTTGTCCACACCTATTATGATAACCTTGGACTTCTCTTCTGTTAGTCTTAATATTTAAAATGGACAACACCCATGCATATCAAAGACAGTAATTCGACCAGACAAGGCTTCTCCATATCCTCGACGACATTTACCCCAGTAATTCTCATATACGGAAAATCAAGCCAATTTATGTTCCAATTACAGAAATGTCCATCGGAGTAATTCCGGTCGATTGTTACTCCTCGAATGGTTCGCCTAACGTATTTCTAGTCGATATGGTTGGTGTTATACTTGGCTTCTATACGTTAAACTTATAATTGATTTAAATGTAAATTCATCTTTTATGTGGTCGATTTGACCAACTGTTAGTACAAAGTGGACAGAGAAAAGAGGCTCGGACAATGGTGTTAAAGTTCTCCTAGTTTACTTTCGCTTTAAATGAAAGGTTCTAACTAAAAGGTTGTGCTTAAACGCAATTCAAAGCAAATCCATTGTTGAGATGAAATTGAACTTAGTTGAATAACAGTTTAGATCTAACGCAATTTTTGTTTAGACTTGTCAAGATTGATCTTGTTTACCAAACAATTGCTTTGGCAATAAAGTATGAGTAGACGTTATAACAGTCGTCCACACTAACGCCTGTGTATCAATGTCAGCCCACACTAACGCCTGTGTATCAATGTCAGTCCACACTAACGCCTGTGTATCAATGTCAGTCCACACAGGCGTTAGTGTGGACTGACATTGAGACACAGACGTTAGTGTGGACTGACATTGATAGAGTCAACAATAGAGATACGAATGGTATACTAACAGAGGAGGCGTCAAGCATGTCGAGTCACCAATAGACATAAGGATGGTTCAACATCAGAGGAGGCGTCAAGCCTGTCGAGTCACCAATAGATATACGTATCAATGTCAGTCCACACTAACGCCTGTGTAGCAATGTCAGTCCACACTAACGCCTGTGTATGAATGTCAGTCCACACTAACGCCTGTGTATGAATGTCAGTCCACACTAACGCCTGTGTATGAATGTCAGTCCACACTAACGCCTGTGTATCAATGTAAGTCCACACTAACGCCTGTGTATCAATGTAAGTCCACACTAACGCCTGTGTATCAATGTAAGTCCACACTAACGCCTGTGTATCAATGTAAGTCCACACTAACGCCTGTGTATCAATGTAAGTCCACACTAACGCCTGTGTATCAATGTCAGGCCACACTATCGCCTGTGTATCAATGTCAGGCCACACTATCGCCTGTGTATCAATGTCAGTCCTCACTAACGCCTGTGTATCAATGTCAGTCCACACTAACGTCTGTGTCTCAATGTCAGTCCACACTAACGCCTGTTTATCAATGTCAGTCCACACTAACGCCTGTGTATCAATGTCAGTCCACACTAACGCCTGTGTATCAATGTCAGTCCACACTAACGCCTGTGTATTAATGTCAGTCCACACTAACGCCTGTGTATCAATGTCAGTTTGAACATATCCTGTACTTGTCGACCATGTGAAATATTTAGATAGTAAAGTTACGACCCCCATTCATTTTACCAAAATAATAATTTCACCTTTTTTTTCCAAGCATGCTAGTGAGGAATCGTGTCAGAACAGAATAAATTATAAAACAAGTTGACCACCTGTCTGCAGAATGTTTTAGTTCTAAGCTCCTAGTGACAGAGACAAATAAAAATAAAAATAAATACAACGTCTATCTCACCCGCACCGACGTTTACACCAGCTGCTTAGCTTTCGCTTGGGCGATACGTTACGTCGGTGATTTTTTGACAGGATATGCTTATCATTACGTCGTGAATCACTTGTAGGAACCGACAGGTGTCCCCGAGGTGACGCTGTTTTCGGTCTAAATATAATGCATTTTTACAAAACGAAACAGTCGTTCTAGAACAAAACCTAATCCGTGAAATACATTGAGACACATGTAGTAGATATATATCATGTAACTATGAGTCGTACCAGAACATTGACTTTATAGTTATGTAGTTTGTCAAATGTGTAATAGTAGACACTTCGTTTGCGAATCTAACTGGTTGGACCTGTCACACTAACATATAAGTTCGGTTGAAATAATTTAAAGAGTTCATAAAATAAAATCACATTTGGTTTCATAACTACATATCTCAACGTGATATCAATTTGCCAACACATGCAATATAGCACGGTATAGCTATGTTTTAAAAGATCAGCTGGGTGTCATCCAACCAATCAATGCACGTAATGCATACATCGTAAACGTCATTGTGACTAGGAAACACTCGAACGTTGTTGAAAACACCCTGTCTATTAATCCTCACCTGGTAGTGTCACTGTACTTCCGGCGCCGCCTGAGCATGTCGCCGTCGATAGTCTTCCGGATGTAGTCAAAATCGTTATAATCCTCGTCCATCTGACGCGTCGGCGTCGGTGATCGTAAGTCACGTGCATGGAGCTGAACTTGTTGGACGATGTTACAGAACTTGGGTTGTCGACCTCGGAAGATCTGTGAGAGATCACCATAAAATGGATAACTTGTTATAAACTCAAACGAATATAACACATTTCTCATAATTGGACAATAACTTAATCTGCCCATGACTTCTTTGGCTCAGAGTACTCGAGATATGGCCAATACATCATTATTTAGAAAATTTTGTATGAACAAAGATAATACATTATATGAAGTGCTGTAATACTTACAACTTTTACAACTTGAGTGGATAAGATTTAAAGACTAATCGTAATCCAATATGCATCAATGTTAGTTTTTTTTTATGCCATCAGCATAATAAAGAATCTTATTTTATTACAAAAAAAAACAACATGACAAAGGTACAAAATCGTTTATAGAAATTGAAGAAATGGAAAAGAACAATCTGATTAAAACCAGATCCTAAACGTAAGGTATCGTTGTTTAATAGGATCTGATTTTAGTCAAAGTTGTGAAAACAAAAGGAAAAGGGGTTCTAATTGTAAACCATGTCCCACTAAAACATCAACAGTTTCCCAAGTTCAATTAATGCATGAAAGACACGTGTAAACCAAAAGCACTAATCCAGGAACGGTCAAACCAGGAGAGGATAAGCTAGAACTAAGCATTATACTTGTCGAGTCACCAATAGACATAAGGATGGTACAACAACAGAGGAGGCGTCAAGCCTGTCGAGTCACCAATAGAGATACGAATGGTATACTAACAGAGGAGACGTCAAGTCTGTCGAGTCACCAATAGGGATACGAATGGTATACTAACAGAGGAGGCGTCAAGCATGTCGAGTCACCAATAGACATAAGGATGGTTCAACATCAGAGGAGGCGTCAAGCCTGTCGAGTCACCAATAGATATACGAATGGTATACTAACAGAGGAGACGTCAAGTCTGTCGAGTCACCAATAGGGATACGAATGGTATCATAACAGAGGAGGCGTCAATCCTGTCGAGTCACCAATAGACATAAGGATGGTACAACATCAGAGGAGGCGTCAAGCCTGTCGAGTCACCAATAGATATACGAATGGTATACTAACAGAGGAGGCGTCAAGCATGTCGAGGCACCAATAGAGATACGAATGGTATACTAACAGAGGAGGCGTCAAGTCTGTCGAGTCAACAATAGATATAAGGATGGTACAACATCAGAGGAGGCGTCAAGCCTGTCGAGTCAACAATAGAGATACGAATGGTACAACATCAGAGGAGGCGTCCAGCATGTCGAGTCACCAATAGATATAAGGATGGTACAACATCAGAGGAGGCGTCAAGCCTGTCGAGTCACCAATAGAGATACGAATGGTATACTAACAGAGGAGGCGTCAAGCATGTCGAGTCA